TTAAACATCCAAAACCACATTTACAGTGAGGTTAATTTTGCATATTTTCATCCATATCTATAGTTCAATTGTTTTATCTTTGCTAAGATTGTTTGTCTAAGTTGTAACTTAACGTGCTTCAACTCCATTCTTATTCGTATAGCTAATTTATCAAACCAAAATCATGATATTTATCATCCTTTTTTGCCCATCTTTTTTCTCTTCTTGGCTTTGCTTTGCATACTCAATGTTAGTTTTTGTATTCTTAATCAAAAAATACATATACACAAAAACACACACACACAAAGAAAAAAAAATTATCTGTTATTCAGTATGAAAGTAATGAAAAACAAAAATAGAATAAATCAAAAAAAGAAAAATTTTTTTTTTGCATGGGCAAACAAACTGTACCAACTTTGTGCGCAAACTTTACGTACACCAATCAGTTCGTTTTAGAAAAATGTCCATAACAGATGATCATGTCAAATAACATTTTTATATAAATGACCATTGAAAGTTATGTTCAACATTCTGTGAAGTTCATAAAATGAGCAATCCTTTTAATGAAAAATTAAATTCTGTAAAGTGCAATGTTTTGAAAGCATTTTTTTCTTCTTTTTTTTTAGAAAAGAAATACCTTCTTTTTGAGTTTTTTAGTGAACTTCAATGTCGAACTTCAAATTCACATAGAGTGAATTTTCTTCTTATATCCTTAAAAAAACAGACACTATAGCAGAGTAGGGCAGTATTCTGTGCACTTTTTAACGCCATTATTGTTGTCTAAATGAAACAAATTGGTTATGGCAATGCTATATCCAGTACTAACAAATAAAGAAACTGCGAAAAAACGTTATTATAAAATATAATCTTAAGTTGATATTAGACACTATAAACGACATCTACCTACCTGTGAAAAGCAAATCTACATAGCCGTTAAGCAAGGAAAATGCTGCATAGATAGGTTTTATACTAGGTAACTATTGTTCACTTTTTTCTTTTTGTTAACATTATTAAAATTATATTACGGTGACGTAAGTTTAATAAAAACTTTAATAAAAAAC